AATGACACATGACATTACTTCCAAATTCAACACTTTTCTTTATTTGTTATAAAGAGTAATGTTAACATGTCGGACGGAATCGATAAAAATGAGCGTACTCAAAATTTCATGAACAAAATCGAATGTTATCAAAAGTTGAGGGGATATCTTTTTCTGTGTTTTATGTGAAGAAGAGTAACTATCAACACTTGTATTAAGACAGAGCTTTTGTTTACCAGACCTTGTCATTTTTAGTTTGGCTTGATTGAACCAACACCATGTCGGACGGAATCAATCATGTCGGACGGAATTGAAATGTTGACCAAAAACAAAGTTCAAAGAAATTGGTTTTTAATGATAGAGGCCTTTAGGTAGCTACCTGTGCTTACTAACTTGGCAATTAAATTGAATAAACAGACAAGCTTCTTGCAATTATTTGAGAAAGTTGCCTGAAATTCCGTCCGACATGTCGCATTCCATCCGACATGTTTTTGCAGTTGATGTTTAAGTGGAATGTACATGTACAAAAACAAATAATAAATTGTATTTTCAAGCAGGTCTCTAAAAATTGTCATTCAGGTCCACATTCTATACAAATTTAAGTTTTAGAAAGTAAGAACAGATTCTTACCAGTAACTTCACTTTAATACTGAAATTACAAATGAAACAAATTTTCAAAGACAAACTGTAATCAATGTCATCACTGGCAAGATATGTTTGGATGGTGCTTTAAATTTGTAAACATTCAAGAAAAAAGTCATTCTGTTTAAATGTGAAATGCTTAGTAAACACATTAAAAAAATTACAGGCTTTTAAGGAAGATCAGTACCTATTTCGCATTAAACATTGTTATCCCTGACAGATACCTGTAATAATCTTATCAGCTACTGATGCTTTCTGAACAGAACAATACATTACTGAGTTTCATCAAAGCTGTACGTATGCCAGATACCCCCAATACAAAGTTATTTATGTTTTTCCTGTTTCAACATCATACACTTAAACATGCAGGTTACTTTGAAAACTTTTCAGCAAAGATTCGCTTGACCTCTCTGAAATCTCTGTCATTCATAATGAGCGTTGATGTCCTTGAAAAGGAAAGTGGGTATGGTGCCTCTAGCTTGTAGAATATGTTTTCTACATCCACCCAGGACACATCGCTTTTGTTTCTGTTGAAGAGGTTTTTGTCTAAACCGCTCTGTTGCAGGAAGTCCAGTTTGGCCATGCTTGAATTTTCATTCAACTCTATAACCATGCCAATGTACCAGTATGAGAAATCATCAAAGTATACAGCATACCACTGACCAACTGAAGGTTGTGTTCCAATCTCATCTTTAGTTTGTTTGGATTGGTCACCTGGATCCATGTTTGGTGTGCATTTGTTGGGAGTGTTGGGGTATATCATTGTACGAAATGGTTCAATGTGGAAATCAGGAGGACCGAAAGGACTTTCTGTGGAGAACTTGAGAAGGACAGATCCTTTCTGAATGATCCGTTCCACATATCTGACTTTAAGCGTGCCTGGAATTACAACTGAGTCCTCTTCAGATTCATCTACTGACATTTCCTCAGCCCCAACAAAGAGCACATCGATTCCTTTGAGGACACTATTTGCATACTCTGCAAAGTGCTTTGGGTTCTGTATAACAACTTGTTTGCTCATGACTTTGCGGTAGACAACAGACTTCACTGTTCCTCCAACTCCATCAACTGGCCCTTTGCCATGACTCGTTTCAAAGTAGTTCCAGTAGAATTTAAGAGAGGGGTCAAATTTTGTAAAATGCATGAATGAGTGTTTGCTTCGAAACTGTGCAGAACAGCCATCTGAGAAAAAATGAACTGTGTCAAATTCAAACTTTGACTTCAGCATTTGCAGAAGATATCGGTTTAAGCCAAACACAACTGTACTGCTGTGCTCTGTAGTTTCTGTGACTAAGGCGTAACTCTGTGTTTTCACTTTATCATTCTGCACGTGGTAAACACACACTGTGTACAGTGAGAAAGACTGATATCCAAAGTATGCGCTTTGTATGGCATGTTGCTGTTTGTTGTCATAATTCTCTGAAAAGTCAACATGAACAATGATTTCATTGCTTTTCAAGTTGTTCTTTAAGTCCTGATACTTTTTGTACTGAGTGTGCATAAGGTTAGGCAGTTCAGGTGACATTTTTGAAGTAGGAAATTGCATTTTAAAAGCACAGAATCTGATAGAGCAGGTCTTCATTAGAAGAAATCCGTTGGAATTTTTTAAATACGACATTGCATCACGGAGTAATGGGCAATTATATCTCACAAAAAGGAGACAAATTTAGCCAAGAGGTCAAAGGTCATCTTTTGTTTTTCTTTATTAATGGTTTGGCACCAAAGGGATGACTGTGGGTATAGCAAAATCCTTGTTTTATCCAATTTCTGTGATATATGAGACTTAGTTAATGGCTTGTGATGCTGTTGTATGAAAAATATGAAAAAATATGTTTCATAAAATGCAAACAGCTCCCACATATGATCTAATTTATAATCTGATTTGCATAATTAATTATCTAATTAACGGTAATTTCTTAAAATATTCAAGTTTGTATGGGAAATCTTGGTAAAAAATGAACATCTTGAAGAAATTCCTGGGTCATCAAAGTCTCGCTTTTTGAAAATTCATTAAATTCCCTTATATTCAAATTACAAATTTGCATAATGATCTAATTTGGTGTGATTTAAAAAATTTAGTCATGTACGCAGGGAAACGCTTGGTCAAAAATGTATATCTTGGAGAAATACTTGGGTCTTCAAAGTCTGGCTATTCAAGATTTCACTTAAACTCCCTCGTATTGACCTTATAAATTTGCATAATTAATTATCTAATTAAGTGTGATTTCTAAAATAAGTCAAGTTTGCATGGAAAACCATGGTCAAAAATGTAAATGTCTATCTTTGAGAAATACATGTACTTGGGTCTTCAAAGTCTGGTTATTTGAGATCTCATTTTACTCCTTCATATTGAACTTACAAATCTGCATAATTAATTATCTAGTTTTATGAAAATAT